CTTCCTTCCAGCCAGCCCCGTGGCCCCCAGACCTCCCCCCCCGCCAGCTCTGCTTCCTGGCCAGCCCTGCCTCCCTCCTGGCCAGCCCTGCCCCTCTCCCGGCTGGCCCCTCCCCCGTCCCCCACCCCCGATCAAGTGTGTCCGGTTTTTTGGCGGGGGTCTACCTGGTAACCCTAGTCTGGGATACACAGTGCCTAGAGAAAACTGCTAGATGGTTTGAACAGCACGTGGTTCCCTCTGGTGCCGTGTGCCCTTGGCGGGGCAAAGAGATTTCACCCACTGCCCTGCTCCCAGGTTTCAACCAGCCTGGGGGTGGGGGAGAGGCAGGGCAGCGGGGGGGCCAGAACACTTTCATTTGCTGCTATGTAAAGGGCTCCTGGCTCTAGCTCCAGGAGTTACCAGCCCTTTAAATAGCAGCAATTAAAAGGGCTTGTGCCTGCTGGGCAGCTGCTGCCATGTTGCCTGGCAGCCGCCCAGCAGGCGCGAGTCCTTTAAATAGAAGCAATTGAAAGGGCTCAGGCCTCCCAGGCTTTGCTGCTAAGTGTTGCCTGGGAGCCCCCCCACCCTGAGGCTGGGTGGCTGCTACCATGTTGCCTGGCAGCCTCCCGGAAGGCAAGAGCCTCTTTAATAGCAGCAATTGAAAGGGCTCAGGCCTCCCAAGCAATGCATTAGTGGCAGAGCCGGGAGCTGCTGCGGGCCGGATCAGAGTGCTCGGCGGGCCGAATGCGGCCCTCTGACAGTCTTTTGCCTGGCCCTGATTTAGCCCATTACATTTCCTTGAATTGGAATTCTATTTGGAAGTGAGCCTATTGTGACTAATTCCTGCTTTGGCTGGGGTTGGGGGAAGGGTTGGCATAGAAGCAGTGTTTTCAGGCTTGGCACAGATTGTTTGATTCAGGGCCACTTCCTGGATCACTGTTTTAGAGTGATGTTATTGATTTGCAGATGGCTTTTGGCTGCCAGTATATATTGAACTGTAGCTGTTTATATCCTGAGAAGAAGGGTGTGTGTTAATGACTTTTTAACTCCACATGAACTGGTTCTGTTTTGAGGTGGAAAGGGGTTGGTACTTGACAGGTATTCTGCATATACACAGTAGACACGCCCTTCTCCCAAAAAGCTTGCAATCTGAATAGACCAGTCAAGAGAGAGGCTTTGTATTAGCTTCATTTTACAAAGAGATTAAGGACTGATCTCCATTTCATAGTTTTGCTAGCATAACTGTGTTGATAAGAAGTGTGACAAAAATCATACCATTAAATGACACAGTCATGCCGGCTTAAGCCCTGGGTTGGATGCAGTTATACTGCTCCCCCCCAAAATATAATTTTGACAGTATGGCTTATAATGGTTTCCTGAATTAAATAAATTATATTAACAACAGTAAATTTTTGTCCGTAAGTAGAAAGGAGTTGTTTTAGTGTAATTGAGACATAAGCAGATTGTCCTAAATAACAGAGAAAGTCTGTAATAGGGCTGGGAATTGAGCCCAAGTGATCCTAACTGAGTGCCTTAATGGTAAGACCAGCCTTCCTCTCTATGAATGACTATCTAGTTAATTTAGAATGTTAAAAATTAACTGTTTTATGGACAGAGGAAATCTCTGTTAAATGAGCAATTTCAGAACCTTATCAGCTTTCCTCAGAATAACCAGGGCAGATTTTTCTTGCTTACGTTAGTGTAAATGCAGAGTAACTCCAGTGAGCTCATTACAGTACTTACACCTGCATGAAACCTGTGGAGGTGAGAAGGAAAATCAGGCTCTCATGTAATTTGCTAATTTGTGATTAATAGTGAAATCCTGTTCAGTGAATGGCCAATATAAAGGAAAAATTTCATGCAATAAGTGAGACTTTGCATAAAACAGTACAATAAACGAAAAATTATTTTTTCACAGGACTGTTAAAGGTGTAAAGCTAGGGACTGGCACAAAGTATGTGTGATAAGTTCTGCACTGCCATGCAGGAGACCTGGATTTGCGTTGTTCTGGTACTTCTAGGGGTACGTCTACACAGCAACATTATTTCAAAATAACTTAGTCCGCGTCTACACAGCAGGCTGTTATTTCATATTAATGTTGAAATACCCTCAGGCTGGAGGTCTTCTTACTCCGACTCCTGTAACCCTCATTGTACGAGGAGTAAGGAAGTCAGAGAAAGAGCGCTCTATTTCGAAATAAGTGCTGTGTAGACGCTCCCAATTTTGAAATAAGCTATTCAATTGACATAGCTCAATTTGCGTAACTTATTTTGAGTTAAGCGCTGCTGTGTAGATATATTAAAGTCCCTGAGGTCAAATAAATGTATTTACTAATTTTTCTGAAAGCTGTACTTCATGGAGAAATGTGGCAAAATAAAATATCTGGTAGAAAAAATGTGTGCTTCATGTTAACATGTTACTAACAGAAAGGAATATTCAAAATGCAACATTTATGGTTACTCATGCAGTCTTTAAACTGCAACCTCGTGTATCCATCCTATGAACTGATTAAGGCAGACATCTTGTGGATGTGTAATTGAAGACTGTATCATAATGCAGACACATGAGGGGACTGAAGTAAGGCTTCACAGACAACTGCAGATCTGGAATTCCCCAAATTTTGTGTGGTTGACTTTGCATTCTAAGTAATGTTCTTTTAATATAGTTTTAATGCAGATTTCTTATGTATTTCCTGCTTCCTTGGGTAAATTGATTTAAATTAATGGAGATTGCCTATCTCCTAGAACTGGAAGGGACCTTGAAAGGTCATCGAGTCCAGTCCCCTGCCCTCACAGCAGGACCAAGTACCATCCCTGATGAATTTTTGCCCCAAATCCCTAAATGGCCTCTGCAAGGATTGAACTCACAACCCTGGGTTTAGCAGGCCGATGCTCAAACCACTGAGCTATCCTTACGTGATGCCATAATAATTCTGTCATCATACGTTATCAGCAGAATTTAAATCCTGAACCATTTCTGTTGCAGTACAAACTGTTACCACTGAAGCTACAGGAGCGTTATTAGATGATAACAGATGTCTGTTATCCAGGGAGTGAGTCCAAGTGGTAGGTCTGAGGGATAGTCAGGTGGAAGGTGAGCCTGCACCAGCTTGGATAGGCTTTCTCTCTTCTCATTCACCCCTCATGAATTGGGGAGCTCCTGCTCTTTGAGATGTCCTCAGATGGGGAGTGATTTGCTGGGGCCATGCACTGGATCTAGAGCCGGGGTGGGCAATAATTTTTGTTGGGGGGGCCACTCCAAGAATTTGGTAGGTAGTCGAGGGCTGCACTTTTAATGGAGGCAGGGTTTGGGGCAGAAGTTGGGGTGGTACAGGATCTGGGAGGGAGTAGTCTCCAGAGTTGGGAGTTCAGAGGGATTAGGTTGTGACCAGGAGCAGGGAGTTGAAGTGCAGAAGGGGGTGGGTGCCAGGTGCAGGCTCTGGCAGGGAGGCGCTTACCAGAGGAGGCTCCTAGCCAGTAGCCCAGCAGGAGCCTTGGACAGGCTCTGTGCCTGCAGCACCCCCACACACTGCTCAAAGCGGCTGGGTGTTGGGGCTAGCATGTGTGTGTCTGCACAGCACACCCCTTTGGAGCGGGGTGGGGTCTGTGTGTTGCATGTGCACACAAGCACGGCCCAGGTAGCTTCCATTGGTCAGTTTCCCAGACCCTGCCTGAGGATCCTACTGGGCTGGCTGCTGACTGTAAGCCACTGACAGTACAGGCAGTCCCCGGGTTACGTACAAGATAGGGACTGGAGGTTTGTTCTTAAGTTGAATTTGTATGTAAGTCGGAACTGGTACATATTGTAGGGGAAAGTCTAGCCAAACATTTCTCCAGAGCTCAGTTTTATTCT